TAAGTAAATAAAACTAATATCCAATATAATTGTTGACATTGTTCATTGGTTAAAAAAAAAGGGGAAAAAAACATAAATTCAATAAATATCGCCAATGTGCTTTTTCTTTTGGCCATAAGAATTAGAAATGCTATTATTATGGTCAGTCCAACTAATAGCCGGCTCTTCAAAGATGCCCTCTAAGAACATATAAAAATTTAAAATAAAAAAATCCAAAGATTTATTGTCAAAATATTACAAAAATCGGAAGGACCCCTGCTGCAAAACCAATCCATCGATGGTGCAAATCCTAGTTGACATCAGTCAATTTGCATGCGCGAATGGCCCCGAATGTACTCTTGAACCAGGGCCCCTCACAACCTGGTTACGCCATTGGTGGTGTAACCATGCACATTTTTCTACGGTTGATTAAACTTCATAGCTTTATTATCAATTAAAATAAGTCAAAGTGAGGATTCACATGGTCCTGGTCTATGGAAACTAAATTCTTCCTTTTTGCTTAAAACTACGTTTACCGATAAAGTTAGCGAAATCATTGAGGAATGTGAACAAAAGCTAAACTTTCTCAACCAAAGTGATATTATGGAAATGATTAAAGTCAAAGTTAAGAGTACGCTATAAAATTTGGTAAAATTAAAAATAAAAATAAAAACAGTAAAAAAGAAAAACTACAAAAAGAAATCAAACAATAAATGTTAATTTGATGAATAGTGAATTAGATAAGCATGAAGCAGAATCTCAATTGAGTACGAAAACAGCAGAACTGGAAAGTATACAGTATATGCATATGAAGCAAGGAGAAATCAAATTCGTTCAAGAGCAAAATGGGTAGAAAAAAAGGAGAGACAAATTCGAAATACTTTTTAGGGCTCGAAAAACATAATGGAAACAAAAAACAATAAAAAAAATTAAGAAGGTCAAATGGAACGCTCACACAAAATTCTAGTGAAACATTGAACGAAGAAGTTAAGCACTTCGAAAAATTATATTCAAATCAAAATATAAAAATTGAAAATGTTAAAAAATATTTAAATTTAACTAAATCCAACAAATTAACAAATCTTGATAGCGAGTCATGTGAAGGAGAGCTTAATTTAAACGAATGTGAAATCGCTATCATCGTATGAAGAAAGACAATGCACCAGGTACCGATGGACTCACTGTTGAGTTTTATCAGCTATTCTGGCCAAAGATGGGCTCCATAGTTTGTAAAGCCCTTAATATGTCTTTGGAAACTGGAAAATTATGTTCCCAACGCAGAGGTGTTATAAACCTAATCCATAAGAAGAGTGACCATGAACACTTAAGTAACTGGCGACCCATAACCCTACTGAACGTAGACTATCAAATTGCAGCATTTGTCTTAAAGAGATTGCAAAAAGAAAAAATAATTAGTAATGATCAAAAAGGATATATAAAAGGTCATTTTGGTGGCGAGAATATTTGACTTATTGAAGATCTAATTGAGTATATGGATGCAAATAAGATGACAGGAACATTGTTAAGCCTTGATTTTAGAAAAGCGTTCGATACTGTGAATAGGAATTTTTGTTGTTTGCTTCTCATTATTGTACAGAAACTGAATTAGGTCCGGTATTAACAGAATAAAAGATGTTGTAACCTCTGAATTTTCTTTTTTACTCAAGGCAATTCCACGAGAATGGAAAGATGTAATTCACAGAAAAAATGTTGAAAACAAACCCTTAGCATGCTGTGGGATTATAGAAATTGTGTAACCGTCAACAGATTTGGTATTGAAGCTACTATTAGGAACATTGTTTTAGGTACGGGAAATATTGATGTTGATTATCTGCTTTCGGTCGGTTTATACAGTATTTATAAATCTAGCGTTTTCAAAAATCTTAACAAGTGGAACCATAGGTCGCTCTTTACCCTTTTTTAACATAGAAAAAATATGAGAAAATGGTTTTAATTTTTTCGAAAAATCAAATTATTGTAATTGTCCATGAAAAGAAAGCTTTTTTATACCAGAACTCCATTTTTATATCATGTAAAATGTTGATGTTAATGAGCAATACATGCTGTTAAAATGTGCTACTGAATTGACGAATAAAAGTGGGATGAAGCCGCAAAAGAGAGAAAAAAAGAAAACTTTATAGTTCAGGCTTCCAATCCAACGAATTTCAGATAGTATGGATAATTCATGCTAATAGAACCACAGAAAAAACAACCTGGACAGAAAATTTAATTAATTTTCTTTGCTGACTAGCCTTGTCTGCTACAGAGATTGGTCTCATGGAGGTTCATTTTAAATGAATAGCTACGTAGGAAAATACAAACACACAGTAAATAAAACTCTAATAGAAATAACATAAATGTTACAAATTTTATTTAAAACTAGCGAATACTTTCGGTTACATTATTTAAATTAGTAGTAATAATAATAATAATAATATTAATAATAATAATAATAATAATAATAATAATAATAATAATAATAATAATAATAATAATAATAATAATAATTATAATAATAATAATAATAATAATAATAATAATAATAATAATAATAATAATAATAATAAATAATGGAAATAATCGAAAATTTGTCATGGAAACTATTTTAAAAACGACGGGATTATAGTATTGCATGTTTAATGTTTAAATGTTATAACGGCACTGCGCTAATAAAATAGAAATGGTATTTGATCGACACAAGAAATGCAGATTCACTTACCATTGTAACTCCAAAAGTAAATTTAAATATTACCAAGACTTCACTAAGATATGCTGGTGCAAATGTATGGAATACACTGCCGCAGATACTAAAAGAATCGACCAAATTAAACTATAATAATATAATTTGTAATAGAATGTAAATTAAGCTACCGCTTTTAAATTATTCTTAATTATACAATTTTTATCCTTGTGTATAATGGTATGACTAAGCTGTTCATATTTCGTAAAACAATTTTACCAATATTTTTACTACTGAATTTTAATATTTTATATGTGATTGAGACGTGTATCATTAATTGTATTACTATACCTCGTTATCTTTGTCGATGTATTTTAACAAAATTGTATTAATTTAAACAGGACCATTTTAAAAACAGACTGTTACATCTTGTCTGAAATTGTACCATGTATAAATATTTCCTAAATAAAAAAATAAAATCATAATAATAACAAAAATAATAATAATAATAATATAATATAATAATTAAAATAACAATGGTGACGATAATAATAATATAAAATAATAATAATACTAAATATATGGGCCCATATATATATATATATATATATATATATATATATATATATATATTAATAGGCCAATGATAAGACAGAATTGATGTCTAATATTATTATTCAATATTTCAATTTACACACAGTAATTTAAAAATGTGAGGAATATACTGTTTCCATTATTTCTCTAGTCGGTTATGGCCAGGCCTATATATCATATTGATGTTTATGTTTTATATACAAAAGATCACAAAACATCAAGATAGTATATAGATATTTACATGATGGAACCATGCTCGAATATAGAAAAACATTATGTAAAGTTATCATTTACCTATTTGCTCATTATAGTTATATTGATGACTTATGTCCTCTCTATTAGTAAGTTATCCCACAACTCGAATATAAATATGTTGATTTACTAAAAAAACACAAACATTACAGAATAAAACCTAGAATATAAAACTTGAAAGTAAGGCCTAAACAATGACAAATTAATAAAAAATAAATAAAACATAAACATATATACATATATATATATTTTGATTTATATTATATATATATAATTTTATATATATATATAAAACGGCTGTCTTGATTCATATTATATATATGTATATATATATGTATATATATGTATATATATGTATATATATATATTAATAGGTCAATGATAAGACAGCATTGCTGTCTAATATTATTATTCAATATTTGAACTTACCCACAGTAATTTAAAAATTTGAGGAATATACTGTTTCCATTATTTCTCTAGTCGGTTATGGCCTAGGCCTATATATCATATTGATGTTTATGTTTTATATACCAAATATCACAAAACATCAAGATAGTATATAGATATTTACATGATGGAACCATGCTCGAATATAGAAAAACATTATGTAAAGTTATCATTTACCTATTTGTTTATTATAGTTATATTGATGGCTTATGTCTTCTCTATTGGTAAGTTATCCCACACCTCGAATATAAATATGTTGATTTATTATTTAAAAAAAAAAAAAAAAAACATTACAGAATAAAACCTAGAATATAAAACTTGAAAGTAAGGCCTAAACAATGACAAATTAATAAAAAATAAATAAAACATAAACATATATACATATATATACGGCTGTCTTGATTCATATTATATATATATATATATGTATATATATATATTTTCATATATATGTATATATATATATATATTAATAGGCCAATGATAAGACAGAATTGCTGTCTAATATTATTATTCAATATTTCAATTTACCCATAGTAATTTAAAAATGTGAGGAATATACTGTTTCCATTATTTCT